CAAAACGATAAATACAATTGTTCATGCGAAATATGTGGCTAGTCTAAAGAGATAAAACTTAGATAGTAAATAATAAAGACTCCTACCGGAGTAAAACACGTGCATACACCTAGAGTAAACTATATGCATGCGTTGGGAAAATATGACCGAACACCCCCCTCAAGATGGAGCATGGAGGTCTCGAATGCCCATCTTGGAAAGTAAATATCCAAATTGATGCGCCCCAAGAGCCTTTGTAAAAAGATCAGCTAATTGCTCAGTAGTGGACCGATGAAGTAGTTTAATGGTGCTATTTCGGACATGATCACGCAAGAAGTGACAATCAATTTCAATGTGCTTGGTCCGTTCATGAAAGACAGGATTGGAAGCAATATGCAAAGCAGCTTGATTGTCACAAAAAAGAGGAATAGGGTGATCATGCGGTACATCTAACGAAGATAGTAAATTCTTAAGCCAGATGAGCTCACAAGTAAGAGCAGCCATGGAGCGGTACTCAGCTTCGGCTGAAGATCTAGAGACAGTATGTTGTTTCTTCGTACGCCACGAGATGGGTGAATTGCCTAACATAACAAAGTAACCAGAAGTAGACCTGCGTGTAAGGGGACAACTAGCCCAGTCCGAGTCACAAAAGTCCACCAAGGATAGTAAGGAATCGCTACGGAGTAAAATGCCTTGGCCAGGATGACCTTTAAGATATCTCAACACACGAACAACTGCTTCCCAGTGCGAGACATGTGGCTCCTGCATGAACTGGGATAAAATATGAACAGAATAACTGATATCTGGCCGCGTGAGAGTCAAATAAATTAGCTTCCCAACAAGGCGCCGATATCGATCAGGATCAGAAAAAAGTGGCCCTGTGTCACGTTGTAATTGATGGTTTTGCACCATAGGAAATGTCACCGGTTTGGCCCCACTCAGACCGGTTTCTTCCAAGATATCCAGTACATACTTGCGTTGGCTCAAAAAAATTCCACTAGAATTCCGCGCTACTTCAATTCCCAAAAAATACTTCATAAGCCCCAAATCTTTGATGGGAAAGAACGTAGCCAAGAATTGTTTGAAATGAACAATCATTTCATGACAATTGCCTGTAATAAGAAGATCGTCCACATAAACCAAAACACATAAAATATTATTAGCCCGTCGTAAAGTAAATAGTGAGTAGTCGGCATAGGACTGCTGAAAGCCATATGAACGCAGGGCTGCTGTGAGTTTAGAAAACCGCAGCAGCGGGGTGCCTGACGCAGACCATACAAAGAACGGATTAATTTACACACATGCCCTGAAGGAGCAGAATAGCCAGGTGGTGGGTGCATGTAAACTTCTTCGTCCAGATCGCCATGCAAGAAGGCGTTGTCCACGTCCATTTGATGTAACTCCCAATGGCGACATGCTGCCACCGCCATAATAGTGCGAACCGTCACCATCTTTGCCACGGGAGCAAAGGTCTCGTGATAATCAATACCCTGCACCTGTCTATTTCCACAAACCACTAAACGCGCCTTATATCTGTCAATACTCCCATCACTCTTGTATTTAATTTTAAACACCCACTTACAAAATATAGGCTTTTTCCCTGTTGGTAGTTTTTGAATTCGCCAAGTTCCATTCTGCTCTAATGCGGTAATTTCCCGCTGCATCGCCTCTCGCCAAAGTGGATCCTGAACTGCCTCTTTATAAGTGTTGGGTTCCTTAACAGTGGAAATAGCTGCAAGAAAAGCACGATACGGAACAGAAAAACGGTTATATGTTACATAATCAGATAGAGGATAAGGCTTACCAGAGGAGACCGAAGGAGAGGATAAAACGCCAGACGGAGTATTAATTTTCACGGTGTTCATCTGAATTTCATAATCGGAATGCCAAACAGGTTTCTGCCTTGCTCGTTGTCCTCTCCTTGTCACGTCATTGAATGTGGCATGTTCATGCGAAGCTATACTCTGCTGCCCAATCGCCGTTCCAGAAGGAGGATGTGAGTCAACCTCATCAGATTGACCGCCTATGTGTTCCTCTTCAGAATGATCACTCTCATGTATTACACGTGCACTTTCAATCCCTTGGCTGGCATTACTTCTACGCCCTTCATCCCATGAGGGATAATCATCCTTATCATCTGTATCTCCACCAATACGTGGCATGAAGTCATGCACCATATCGTCAATTTTGTCTTCCTTTGTCTTATACGGAAATTGTGTTTCCACAAAATACACATCACGGGACACAAAATGCTGATTATTTTCCAAATCAAACATTTTCCACCCCTTTTGAGAATGAGCATACCCAAGAAAAACACACTTGACACCTCTTGCACCAAATTTGTCACGTACATGTGAAACATGCGCATAAGACAAGCACCCAAAAACCCTCAAATGTTCATACATTGGCGCTTTCTTATACAACATTTCATAGACTCTTGTGTGCTAATAACGGGGTGGGTAACCGATTAATTAAGTAACCGGCCGCTAAAATACACTCACCCCAAAAGTCAAGTGGGAGGTTCGCATGAAAACGTAGGGTGCGAGCCATTTCTAAAATATGTCGATGCTTTCTTTCCACCCTTCCATTTTGTTGCGGAGAATACACACAAGATGTTTGATGAATTATTCCATTGTCAAGAAAGTAATGTTTTAACTTCAAAAATTCCGTTCCATTATCGCTACGAACCACTTTTACATTTTTATCAAATTGACGTTTGGTCATAGCGCAAAATTGTTTGAGAATATTTGTCACTTCATCCTTAGTTTTCATCAAATGCACCCAAACCGCCCGTGAAAAATCATCAACCACAGTCAAAAAATAATGAGCACCACACGAAGAAGGTACCCGATAAGGACCCCATACATCACAATGTATTAACTCAAAAGGTTCCAATGCTCTACCATTATTAATTTGAAATACTTCACGAGTCTGCTTTCCTCTCAAACATGCATCACAAACTTCATTCAACTCAACAAAGGATCCAAATTTATTAGAACTAAAAACAGAACGCATTACTTTCAATGACGGGTGTCATAACCGGGAGTGCCACAAATCACTTGACTCATGCTTCTTTATTTGGTGCGCAACCACTGTATCAAATCCGTGAAAATAATATACTCCATCATGTCGTCTACCCGCTCCAATCAACATCCGCGTAGGCAGGTCCTGTATCACACATAACTGATTAGTAAAATATACATCGCATTTCTGATCATCAATTAATCGTGCTATAGAAATAAGGTTACACTTCAGTCCGGGCACCAACAAGACCTTCTTAAGTGTAATATGTGAACTTAATTTCACATCTCCCATACTGGTTGCATGGGTAACATCTCCATTGGGCAGTATTACTGCCACCGGCGGCAATCTTTCTGTGTGCATCAACAATTGTGCACAGCTGGTCATATGGTACGAAGCACCGGAGTCCAAAAGCCATTGAATATTAGAAATCTTACCGGTTAAATTTTTAGTAGTAGTGATCATCTTACTTTTCTCCAAAAACTTGACGAGTCCTTGCCATTGCTCTTCTGTAAAGCCAGGCACTCGTCCATCACTCTTCCGGTCACCGGTTCCTTCATCACCAGATTCGATCACAGCATTAGCAAAGGCTTTTCCTCGTCCACGGCCTTGTACAACACGTACCTTGCCCCCACGACTTTTTTCCGGATGTTCATACCACCAATTCGAACTTAATAAATAGTAAGGAGAAGGCGAGTCATTAATCTTTCTCCTCCCCGGTTCAGTCTTCATACTTCGTCAATTGTATCCCGTTGGGATATAATGTTCAGATGTCGTCGATCAAGATCCAAATTCGTCGGTCAAGGTTCAGGAGTCGGGTAGCCCGCTCTGATACCATGTAGAAAAACTATGCGGAATAAACAATCTGTTTTTTTCCCATTCATTAGCCGAATACATCTGTGTACGTTATATACATGTTGAGGGCTAAGCTACGTACAAAACGATAAATACAATTGTTCATGCGAAATATGTGACTAGTCTAAAGAGATAAAACTTAGATAGTAAATAATAAAGACTCCTACTGGAGTAAAACACGTGCATACACCTAGAGTAAACTATATGCATGCGTTGGGAAAATATGACCGAACAGTATCATCATGTCAATGTAAAAATGTAATCGTTTACTTTATTAATTCATTTTAGAAGTAAACTTGGTATAATTGTAATGTAGTACGCACTGATTATTTACAATTTGGTAGTTCATATTTATTTTATAATTTTCCCAAATCCGACCTATATCCGCATCAATCCGACATTTAAAATTTAATGCATTTTAATTTCTTTAAGGATATGGTTAGTAAAAAGTGTTTGAAACCCTACTCTCACGATTTTGATCTTTTTAGGATCAATTTTTTCCTTAAAACCTTAAGAGATTCTGAATGTAGTTTGTTGCAAGAGATCCACTCTTCAAAAATTTTAAATGGATTAGAAATTCTGAAGTCCTAAGCCATTAGCTTAAATTAAAAGTGGATGCTCTTGATGTTCAAATGTTGTGAGAGCCAACAGCACACCAAACGCATTTCATTCAGACTTATTTTGCTAGAGGTACACAAAGTGTTTACACATTTTGTGTACCTTAAACATTTTTCTATTGACTCGTTCTAACATGAGACCGTCATTCACCTTGCGGCGCACACAATTCCCTTCGGTTAGTTAGTTGCGAGATGAGATGAGGATGAATAAGAGACAGAGCAAATTATTGGAAAATGTGAGAATATTCTTAGACTTTCTCTTTTCATCCATCATCCATGTGCAACATTACATCGTTCAAATGGTTTTAAATTTCTTAGATGTGTGGACAATGGTAGACTGACAAACCACACATCAAATATTTTTTACAAAGAGATCCTTAAGAATTTGTAATATTACATTTTAACTTGAATAAAATTGAAATTCCTTTAATTCAAGCTCAAAAAGCAAATGGTATGCATTCACTTAAGAAAATATTCACATTACTATCACATAAACTTTGGTTTCAATGACAATTAACAAAGAACAAGTTTTAGGTCAAACAACAATTTGTCACCCTTTAATTTACAACAATCAATCACAATGAACAAGTGTATAGTCAAAGACGTGTAGTAACACAATAAAATCATATGAAGTTCGATCTCTCTCGCGGAAAATGATACATGGATTAACATTTTGTACCATCACTTTATATGTTAAAGATGAGATAGATATATAAGTAAGAATAATACAAAATGTACTATAAAATGGTAATTAAATCCGTCATAATCCAATTATGAAAATATGGATTTGACTTGAGGTCAAACCTCCTTGAGACCGGCCGTATACTGGAAGCCGGTGGACGGCAACCACGTGTTTCCCCGGAGAAACCTAGCCACCGTGAAGTCGTTGGCCTGGTCAAAGTCCATGGTTCCGTGGTAACCCGTCCAGTTGACCCGGCTTCCCAACCCGGCCCCGGGTCCGTAATTCAAGTACTCCCCGTAGAACAGAGTATCCAGCGCGAAGCTCGCGTTCCATTCCAGCCATCCCCGGGGCATAATCACACTGCTCAGGTACGATTCCATCACAACTGTTCGGGAATAGAGCTTCCATGGCCGGCCGAGGTACGTGCTGGTGGAATTTCCGGCGGCGATCAGACCCGGGTCGCCCGTGATTTTGCAGAACTGGATGGAGAACCCGGTGGGCTCGGTTGGATCTTTCCGGCCGTGTGCGGTGATGGTGTTCTTTTGGTCCGGGAGGCCTTGCCGGGCCTGGATCTGGCATTTTTGGAAGACGGCGGCGGCGTTGCCGAAGATGAAATCGACGGTGCCGGAGATGAAGCACTCTCGGTAGAACTGGCGCAGCGTGTGGGCGTAGAGGGTGTCTTGGTAGCCGGTGATGGCGCACCGGTATAGCACCGATAGATCGGAATCTGATCGGAATGCCACCGCTTGGTGCTTCTCCGGCCCTGCCGTGTTCTCAATGGTCAAGTCTCGGGCAATGAATCCCAAGCCTTTTACCGCTGCACCGACACATAGAAAAATTAAAACTCCTACTCTAAGAGAGTGTTTGCAATCACTTAAAAAAAAGCACTTCTCAGCTCTGGGCTTAAAAAAGCACTTATTTATCAAACACTACCAATTTTTACTTTTTCTCGGCTTGCGTGTGAAAAGTGCTTTTCCCCTTTCTATTACACAAAAAACACTTATTTTACCAAACACTATCAACTTTTACTTTTAAAAATCACTTTTTTCTCAAACACTATCAACTTTTCCTACTAATCACTTTTTCCTTACATCTCCAAAAGTGCTTTTTTTTAAGCTGAAGCAGTTGCAAACACTCCTTAAATCATACACAAAATATTTTAATATTTCTTTGGTTCTATTTTAATTGCTAATGGTCCACCTTTCATGTTTGGTAACGCATAATTTGATCATTAATATTTTTTATTTTTTATTAGTAGAAAAAATTAAAAAAATAGATTGTAAAAATTTAAAACGAGATAAATTTAACAATATTCTTCAAAAAATAATTCATAATACATTAATAAATTCATGTTAGATATGTTTTGGGCTTTTGGTATACCATTTTTTTATTTTTTTTGTATTTATTAATTATTACATCAGTTGCTTAATTAATGCCTTAATTGCCACTTCAAACAGTCATTCTCTCACAATTTATGATTCAAAATACATTTTCTTTTGTCAACTTAACTTGCATTTAATCACTATGTATGGAGAGACTCCATATTATAATATTTTCATGTTTGAAACTTTTAAAAGAGAAGAGCTACTTTAACACCACCATCATTGAAAGTTTCCACATAACTCTCAATCATAAAAGTTATGATTAAATTTGAGTAGAAAAATGAAATGAAACCAAGATAATTATGTTAACACATTTCAAAAAGGTTAATAAGACAATTGTTTCGGGAGACAGAATATTAATATTAAGGGAGTGTTTGCTAAACCTTTAAAAAATGTTTTTCAGCTTTTGGCTTAAAAAAGTTTAAAACGGCATTTTTAAATGAGAATTTGTGCTTAAATTAATCACTTAAAATCTAAAATCTAGAAAGCATGTGAAAGAATGATTTAAACTGTTTTTCACTTTTTCTATTACACAAAAAACACTTGATTTACCCAATATTACCAACTTTTACCTTTTCAGAATCACTTTTTTTCTCACACGCTATCAACTTTTACCAAGTACTTTCTTCAAAATCACTTTAAAAAATCATTTTTTGGAGTAGAAGTAATCACAAACACTCCCTAAATAGTGTCCCAAGCACTTGTTCAATAGTCTCCAAAATCACTTTAAAAAAATTATGTTTAATAGAAGTTAAAATGTTAGTGAATTTAAAATTCGGGCTTTCCTGTTTTTATTCTCAAATATGAGTAATTACTTTCATATTTTGGCATTATCAGATTTTAAAAAACCCAATATTTTCCAAGTTTAACAATAATTACTCTCATTTTGAAAATAAAATACAAGGCAATCCTATTTTGAAATTCAAAAATGTTTTACTCCTATTTATAGAATTTCCAATCATTTTTTTAAATAATTTTTGTGAAATTGCCCTAAATAGGACTAAAAACGTTTATAAATTCCAAAATATAACTGTCGTGTTTTTATTCCCAAAATTGGACTAATTACTGTCATGTTTTGGCAGTACCAGACTTTAAACATAACAGTATTTTCCAAACATGGCAATAATTACTCCTATTTTGGGAATAAAAACATGACAGTCTTATTTTGGAATTTACAAACGTTTTTTGTCCCATTTCCGGAATTTTCCCTATATTTAGTTATACATAATTTAATACGTAGTACCTTTTAGAAATAACTTTATTTCCCTAATTAGTCAAAATAATGTCTTGTTGTTAAGTGTAAAATTCAAACGGATGCTACAACTAATAAAGAATTGTGCTCTTACTTCGTATCTCAATTTGATTGAAACCATAATTTTTTTAATCAAAAGAAAGAAAGAAAAAATGACTTTTGGAGAATGGATCTTACCGAAAGTTGCAGACCTGAAAGTAGTCCAGCCGTCAATAAAGCTCCGGTTGCCGGAAATAATGGTATTGCCCTTACCGTCTCCGATCATCACTATATTCCATTTCTTCTTCCCGATTTCCACATTTTCTCTGTAAACTCCCTTCTTCACATGGATCACATACCGTCTATCACTCACGGAATTATTGACGGCAGCCACGGCGTCCATTATGCTCGTGAAGTTCCCCGTCCCGTCGAGCGCCACCACCGCGTCCGGCGTAAACTCGACGGACTGCAGAAGTTTCCGGTCACTGGGTTTCACCCATTCCGGGAACTCCGGGGTACTGAGAAGCTTCCGGCCGCCGGCGGGCTTGGGAGCGGGTCTGCCTCTGACGGCGTTATTCTTGACGGGAGGAACTGATTCGACGGTGGCGAGGAGGTGTCGGACCGCGGCGGCGACCTGATTAATGGGCCGTGCGACCAATTTTTTGACGGTGCCGTTTGTGGCGTCAAATCCTTGTAAGCACGTGTCTTGGTTACTTAACGCAGCCGTCAACCATGTCCTCAAATCCGCACTCATGCTCCCCGTGCCGATGCCGACGGTGCTATTACTTTTTTTACCTACATAATCAAACAACATTAAATAATGCCATTTTGTCAGGAATTTATTACTACTCTCGTTACACTCAATTTTGATAAACTTTAATTTTTATTTAATAAATGATACTAGTACATTTTTTCTTTTAAAAAATGAGGACAATTTTCATTCAATCTCACGCTTCGTTTGGTAATTTCAATTTTTTACTTTAATGGTTAAATTTTACCAAATGACAAATTTTTAATTTTGCGCACTGAATTGATTAAACAAAACAGATCAAAATAAAAAAAAATTATACGAAGTATTATACTTTGGAACTTATAAAATACATATATATATATATGAGACATTTATAATGTATGTACATCAAAACCACTTGGGCATGAGGATATATATTTATACTAACTTGACCATTTTTATATTTAAGTGCACTTTCTTATTGAGAGTTGAGTTTAATGGTATATTTTTTCGTCTTATCAGACTTGTCAGTCAGCTGAATTGTGTAATGATAAGAAAAAATACGATTTGAGTTACTTTTCCATCAGTATTGGCCGAAGTTTCTATACAAAATCATTTTGTTGTTTCTTGATATAACTTTTTATGTATGTTATTAATAAAATATTTTAAATATAATTTTTTGATAAATCAGCAAAATCAGTCAATCAAGCACTTCAGTCAGAACTTCATAAATTTTAGCAGGATCATCAAATACATTCAATATGGGTGTGTATTATCAAAGGGGCTCTAAAAGATATGAAAGTAAATGCCTAAGAAAGGTTTGGATAGGATATTATTTACTCCGTGTGTTATTAAAGCATAGTAACATAAATAAAATGTTTGGATTAACACTAAATTCGGGACGATGATAAAAAAAAAAAACTAAATTCGGGACCGACAAGTTTTCTTTAGGTCATGTTTGGGTAGCAGTAAATTCTCAACCAACATCACGTTTTTAGGTCATGTTTGGATTAGCACTAAATTCTTTAGAATTCTTAAATTAATTCTTAAGAATGGGGTGATTTTTAGTTTTAAGAAAACATAAACGCACTCTTCTAAGTTCTATCTATGGATTTCACCCAATCCTAGAAAATTGGACTTCTATTTCCCATTAGAAGGTAAGATATAGGATGAGCAATGGAGAATACATGCAATATGAACAACAACAAAAATCTAAACAAAAGTAAGATATACTAGCTCAATCTAGTTAGAATTTGTAAATTTGATGAGTATGTATAATGAAAAATAAAAACTAAATTGATGATATTTGTGGAGATGAAAGAATAACAAAAGTAAAAAAAATTACTTTAGAAAAAATAACAAAAAAATGGAACAAAAAACTGAAGGTTTTCTAGTATAATTTTTAAAACATGACACAACTTTCAAAATAAAATTTATCTTCCTATTAGAATTAAGAATTAAGTAAATGAATATTTTCTTTAAATATGACAACAAGTCTAAAACATTTCATAAAAATCACAAATAAAACAATGAGCCTGTTTAGTAACACTAAAATTGGCTGAATGGGAATTTTGTGCTGAAAATTTTGAAATTCAAGTTTAAGTGGTTGGATTGACTGACTCTACTGAATCGTGAAAAATTATATTTAAAATATATTTTATTATAAAAAAATATATGAAAAATAACTAAAATATTTATCCACGGTAATCAATCGATCCAGGCAGAAAAGTATTTTGATTAAGAAGTATTTCATAACTCAATGTGTAAATTAAAAACTTATGCATGTTTAATAAATAAAAAAATGATTGATATAATAAGATTAATAAGTTGGAATGTTTGTGATATGAGAAGAAACGCACCACCCCAGTGGTGGATAGTCCAAGACAGTTCCTCAGCGGAGAAGTCGAGAAGATCCAGGCAGTCGGAGATCGCCGTCGACAGCCGGAAATGTCCATAGTGCCCCACACTATGGCCGATCTCCGCCACGGTGGCATTGGCCACTGTGATATTCCTTATCGCCGATATAACGGACCTCACGAACTCTGTCGCCGGCACCTTCAAGCACTTGGACTGGCCGAAATCAAACTCTCCGGCGCCGGAGCACCCCGGAACACCCCAAAAACACAGCAAAACCGCCACCATAACGGCCGTCCACGACGGAGCCATAATTCACTCACACTAAAATAATCCGCTCAATCGACCAGAACAGAGTATATAGTGTGAATATGTCAAACTATTCCGTGATTTGACGGTAACGGGCAGTACGATGAGCAAAAAGAAGTGCGAGAAGTTGGGCACTAAATAAGGGCTTAGGCAAGTCACAAATTATATTCGTGCTTTTTTAATGAGCAAACCCTAATATATAATTATGTATGTTAGCTACTAATAAGATAAGGGAGTGAAAATGTGAAATATATATGGACGAATAAATATAAATATAAAGTAAATAAAATAGTAATGGAAGCTAGCAGGGGGGTTTCATATATTCAATGGAGTTGTTGGTTGACAGGTGTGGGCATTGAAGAATGCAAGGGAAGGGAAGATCTGAACGTGCTATATATAAATATAAGTACATAAAAGTATATGTGTATAAAAGTCCCCATCCATCCAACAAAAGGAATAATTAATCCTAAATAATAATTATAACAATTTAACATTTTTAAGCAATTTTCATCTTTTATCTTTTTATCATTTTCCATTCTTAAATTCTTATGTTATTTTTATCTTATATTTATCTTATCCTACCTTTGTTACGTATTATCGACCGATTCATATTAGTCGACTTCAAAATCTTTTGGAAATAAAATTTGGATGTTGCTATTGAAATGTTTAAAAATGAATTCATGATATCAATTTTTCATCAAAATGCAGTGATAATGTCGTAAATACGAAGTATTTAAAATTGGTGAATGCAAAAGTTTATTGGTTAATGCTTTTAACATTTTTAAACTTTTGTATTATACTTTTAGTCATTCGGTAAGAGTGAAAGTGGCTTAAACAGCTCAATTTGGTATAATTTATGAAATTTTAGTTGAGAGTGGATGAATTTGTTAAATCTACTCAATTGAGAAAAAATTACATTTAAATTGTGTTTTTAATAAAATTAAGAAAAGAAGCAAAAAATCATTTCTAGACAACTTCAATCAATTCAATCAGAAAAATAATGGTAACAAGACATTACTTATTTTGATTTTTATACAATTCAGCATGTGACATCATAACTTATGTACTCATATTTGTTAAAAAAAAATTGACCAATAAAAAGGAAAAAAAAATATTCCGTATTTCCTGAACTCACGTTTTAGGTTGCCTTTAACGCGTTTTTAAATGTTGTAACACACATTTTTCTGTACACTGCTTCACTTTTGTAGTGTATCTTCTTAATTGAAAGTTCTGGAAAATTAGACGGCGTCGTTACATTTAAACTTATACTTTGATCTTATTCATATATTTTTTCACATTAATAATGGAAGTAATTAATGTTATGTTCCATATTTTAATTCATTGTGCTACGTGTCTGGTTTGGAAGGTGGGGATGGGGTGTCGGCGCACACAACTTTTGACATTACGACAAAAAAGCCATTCACAACTTCATTAATTAATTACATAATTAAAAAAATTATTATACCTAGCTTAGTCTTTTTAATTAAGAATCGAATCATACACTCTTAAAGCATCTCCAATGCTAAAACCAGTAAAACGTGAACAGTTCATACGTGGCATGTGAGATAGCCAATGAAAAATAATAAATAGAATATCTTTCTCCTTATTTGAAGGATTTTGTATCATTTTGGTAAGTTTTTTTTCATAATGTCAAGCACAATGTTTAGATGTAGACATTGTGCTTGACATTGCAGAGGAAAACTTACTAAAAACACATAAAACCGTGGAAAGAATGAGAGAGAAATGTCATAAATTCGATTTTTTGTGTCTATCTCTCTCATGTCACATGTGCACCGTGCACATTGTAGCATTGGAGATGCTCTAAGTGAACCTTTTAAACAAGCAAGGCTCCGAGTATATATTATCAATATATTGTATGATTTGGCAATATATTACTCCGTATTACGGAGTATATTGTATGATTGCTAATATATTCACTCCCTATTTTTGAGTTGTAAATATAACTTTTTGCGGAATTTTCAATATGCACGCTGTATATGATATTCTTTGATTCATGTGTGGCTGTGAGTTTTACTGTGTGTAGTTCAAATCTTCCAAATGTTATTGTGTCACATAATTAATACTTGTATTGCTTTTTATGATACACGCATTGGGGTTTACTCTTCCACAATATTAGAGTTTACAAATTACTCCTCCTAGTCTCCTACCACACGAACCTATAATTACCTCAATTATGGGTCGATCCGGTCCCAGTTTTGGGTAGCGACCGCCTGGTCCAAAAAAAATATCTGGTGATACCCGGACTCGAACAGTTATATTCCGGTCTAGGCCGACTTCGGATACTCAGTCGGTCCGATCCCGAATTTGAACCTGTTACATTTATATACATGGGTTCAAGCTTTAAAAAATGGCCGATTCATGAAAAAAATTGGGACTGAAACTGTCCGGTTCGGTCCCAAATATTGGAACTCGAGACTGGTAACCGCTTTGACTCAGTTGGGTACTGGTTTTTACCCGGACCAGAAAACCAGACCCGGTCCGATCCCGCACAGTAGCGGACGTGGTTCCGGATAGATCTGGGACAGCCGATCGGGTCCATCCATATTACCACATCTTCTCTTTTGAACCGCTGAGTTACATCGTGAATGTAAGGAGAATCATGAAGAGGAAGACCCCTCATTTCCCTCGATGTGAATTGAACCCAAGACCTCTCACGGAGAAACTTAGGTGGGAGTGTTAAACCCAATTGGCCGATCCCGTCACACCACCTTCCTACATAATTAATATTCTCATTGCTGCAAGTGTAACCAAACTTATAAACATCCGCTTCGGACCAAGTGTATTGGCAATTTGGCATCCGCTTCGTATTGTATTTTCCTACATTTGGACCTCACACGTTTTCTCTAAGTGGTTTCAATTGTGTTGGATTCATCCTTTTGATCCAGATATTTGTATCTATGAAAGCTGATTGTGATCAAATTAGGATTTTTTTGTCTAAGGTTTTGAATCATAGTTCATACACTAAGATTATGGAAGCGCAAGCCTCACAGCAAAATTATTAAGAAAATGACTTCTATGGACTCATGAGAAAATGTATTGAATGTCTTATATTTAATTTGAGGTTTGAAAAGTATATAATTTAGTTGTTTATTTTTAGTTTATAAAGAATAGGGAGATTGATGTTTGCGGCAACTACAATATAATATACTATAGTCCTTGGTTTTAAAGAAAATGTCCCTCTTTATTAATGGACCATGACTTAAGTTTTGCAGAATTTGATATATCTAGATGTAGCACTGTTAAGACGGGTCACTATCATTCAAATTGATGAAACATGTAAGAATGAGATTGCTGTATTTTTTCTAACTCAACCCAATTTTGAGCCGTCTTTATTTCATTTTGTGGCACTCGTTAGCCTATAGATCTTTAGGTCAATGCTAAGCATTAAAGATCTCATGATTATTTATTAATTTCAAACATACATTAAGTCATTCATTAATTTTAAATAAATATTAATTCAAAACTCATAGTTTACACAAGGGTATATTTCTATGTGCCTAAAAGTCACTGATGAGAAAGTTTTAGGGTTGAAAAGTCATGTGTATTATTCCTCTCCCAAGGCATATAAATATACAAGAGGTGCTCCTAATCTGCTATACACGTGTAAAACTAAAGCCCTAAAATACAAGTTAATGGGCTGAACAAATATACAATATTTAACTAGGCCTTTAACACCCCCCCTCAAGTTGGAGCATGCGGATCACAAATGCCCAACTTGCGAAGTAGATAGTGAAATTGTTGATTGCCCAAAGCTTTGGTAAAGATATCCGCAAGTTGTTCTGTTGTAGAAACATGAGAGGTGAGAATGATCCCATCCTGAACCGCATCTCGTACATAATGGCAGTCAACTTCAATATGTTTCGTACGCTCGTGAAAGACTGGATTGTGTGCGATATGTAATGCGGACTGACTGTCACAGTATAACCGCATTGGATCAGTATGTCGAACACCCAGACTCAACAGTAGTGCCTTGAGCCATTTAAGCTCGGATGTAGCAGAGGCCATAGATCGATATTCAGCCTCAGCGGAAGATCGAGAAACAGTATGTTGTTTCTTGGTCTTCCAAGATATAGGAGAAGCACCAAGAAAGACAAACCATCCAGTCAAGGAGCGACGAGTTAGCGGGCAACTGGCCCAATCAGAATCACACCAAGCAGAGAGAGATAAATCACACTGAGAACTGAGAAGGATTCCCTGCCCCGGGCAACCCTTCAGGTAGCGCACCACACGGAGTGCTGCATCCCAATGATGTCGGCAAGGGGCATGCATGAACTGAGCTAGAGTGTGTACCGCATAGGCAAGATCGGGCCGTGTGAAAGAGAGATAAATTAGGCGACCAACAAGACGACGATAAGCCTCGGGATCCGAAATAGGTTCCGTAGTAGTAAGAGCCAGATTATGATTCGGTGCCAAAGGTGTAGCTACCGGCTTGGAACCAAGAAGACCAGTATCGGAAATAATATCAAGGGAGTACTTGCGTTGACACAGGAAAAGACCATCGTCATTGCGAGCAACCTCAATGCCCAAAAAATATTTCAGAGGTCCAAGATCTTTCATGTGAAAACAAGTGTTCAAATAAGTCTTGAAAGCCGAGAGAGCCTCAGAATCATTCCCTGAAATAATTAAGTCATCAACATAAACGAGTACGTTTAGGTGTACCTGTTTATGATGAAAAGTAAAAAGAGAGTAATCCGAATAGGACTGGCAGAAGCCATAAGCTTTCAAGGAAGTAGCTAGCTTGGCAAACCAACAACGAGGAGCCTGTCGTAACCCATAGAGGGATTTTTTTAAACGACATACGAGACCCGGAGAGCTTGGAGTAAAACCGGGTGGAAGTTTCATGTACACCTCGTCATCAAGATCGCCATGGAGAAAGGCATTGTGGACATCCATTTGATGTAGTTCCCAATTGCGAGCAGCAGCAACAGCAAGGAAAACTCTGACTGTGACCATTTTAGCAACTGGAGCAAATGTTTCATTATAATCTAGACCAGCAACTTGATGATTTCCCAAGGTAACAAGACGAGCTTTCATGCGTTCTATGCTCCCATCCGAGTTGTATTTGAGTTTGTACACCCATTTACAACCCAACGCCTTTTTATGTGGAGGTAATTTAGCCATTTCCCAGGTCTGATTATTCTCTAACGCACGAATCTCACTGGCCATTGCATCTCGCCATCCTGCATGTTGCATGGCCTCGGAAAATGTGCGTGGCTCTTGTCCATGCAATACCGCGGCTATAAAGCTCCTGTGACGGGCTGAAAACTTGTTAAAAGAGATATAATTGGCGAGGGAGTAGGGCATACCTGGGGAACCTGGAGTAGAAGACGGTGAAGTAGGATCCGGACATGTACTACTAGTTGTTAGAGTCACAAAGTCACGCAGTAACACTGAAGGACGTCTCTCACGTTGACCACGCCCCAGTTGAGTGGCTTCCGGAACTTGGCCGGAAATAGGAGGCTGGGCCGTGAGAGAGGAATCGCTCCCAGCAGAGGTAGCAGAGGTGTTCCCTGTAGGGCTTACGGAAGTGAAAGAATCCTCATGAGCGGACTGGGCATCATCCTGAGTTGAGGACTCCGTGGCAAGATCATCATCATCAAAGCCCAAAGTATGAGGAGTAACACTCGGCTCGGGAGAAGCTTGTAATGGAGCTGATGTGGCGTAGGGAAACTCATTTTCGTGGAAAATAACATCACGAGATACAAAGAAATCATGGGTATCCAAATCAAACAATTTCCATCCTTTCTTGCCGTTAGGATATCCAACAAAAATGCACTTACGTCCCCGCGGGGCAAATTTACTTCCCTTAGCATGTTGGTTGTGTGCAAAACAAAGACATCCGAACACCCGCAATTCGTCATAAGTGGGAGGCTGCCCACACAAAATTTCAAACGGTGACTTATTGTCAAGCAACCCAGAAGGTGTCCGATTAATTAAGTACACAGCAGCCAGAATGCACTCACCCCAAAACATAATCGGGAGATTGGCTTGAAACATGAGCACACGGGCAACATTGAGTATATGTTGATGCTTGCGTTCGACCCTCCCGTTTTGTTGAGGAGTCCCAACGCAAGAAGTTTGAAAAATAATACCTTGGGAAGTAAAGTAATCAGACATACAAGTAAATTCCGTTCCATTGTCAGAACGAACTACTTTGACAGAAGTTTCAAATTGACGTTCAACCATGGCCAAGAATGAGCAGAATACTTTAAAAACCTCACTTTTAGCTCGCAACAAATACACCCACACACCACGAGAGAAATCATCAACAATAGTCAAAAAATAAATTGCATCACAAGAAGATGGAGTTTTATTTGGTCCCCACAAATCACAGTGTACGAGTTCAAATATACGAGATGCTTTATTGTTACTAATAGGAAAACTTGCACGTGTCTTCTTGGCAACCGGACAAGCAACACATGTTTTATTTAGGACTTTTCGGCCAGAACTACCACTAATGACGGGAACTAACTTGAGTACTCTGTCCGAAGGATGACCCAATCTCCGATGCCACAAATCAAAAAACCCCACTTCTGTCATCATGTTCATTTGAGCTTTAGGCATGCTTCGAAAGTAGTACAGTCCGTCCCGCCTTTCACCTGCTCCAATCAGGTTCCCCGAACGTTGGTCCTGTATAGCACACAGATCATCAGCAAAACGCACAATGCATTTAGAGTCATCAATAAGTTGTGTAACGGAGATCAAGTTACACATTAAATGAGGCACGTATAACACATTTTTTAAAATAAAATTCTCAGACAAATGCACATCCCCGATCGTGCGTGCCACAACTTGTTGGCCATTTGGCAGACCTACCGTCCAATGGTCAATGGAATCACAATTGGTGAGAGAATCCGCATTACCAGTCACGTGATGGGAAGCCCCGCTATCAATAATCCATGAAGAAGAACGTGGCTTACCACTCATGCGATCTACACCTGGCGTCCCGGCATTAAGCATGTTGATGAGAGCTTGAACCTGTTCTGAACTGAGTTGAGCCGCTGCACCATCGCCATCTGTCTTAGGCCCATCACCCGTCACCACATGTGCATGAGAGACCTTTCGTCCTTCAGTAGGTGCACGCGAGGCCCCAGCCCCATTATTAGAGGACTGCTGTCCTTTTCTTTCTCGATTACGGTCTGCCCACCAATCTGGGTACCCATAGATCTTGAAGCAGCTCTCCACCTCATGTCCCTTCATCTTACAATGGCTGCACTTCAGTTTGCTCTTGTCAGGACGTTCAGCCCGCTGTCCAGAGTGGTCTGCCTTCAAAGCAAAAACACTGGACTCTTCCTTAACAGATTTTCCTCGTGCAATAGCACGGGATTTTTCTTCTTGAAGCAGAGTATGATATACCCGGTCAAGGGTAGCAGGAGTGGACTGGGACAGCAAGTTGGACCTAGCTACAGAGTATATTTCATCATCGATGCCGATCAACAGTTGATGAACCTTCTCTTCTTCCCTATCATCTGCGAATTTCTTCGCGATATCACACGTGCAGGCTCCACACGTGCACACATGGAGAGGTTTCAAGCGACCCAGTTCGTCGTACAACGACATAAGCTGGTTAAAATAATCATCAAGTCTCTGTCCTTTGCTCTGTTTGCATCCGACTATATCCACCCTCAATTGTTGAAGCCGTGGTCCATTGGCAACGCAATACCGCTTTTCAAGATAATCCCACAGCGGCTTTGCTTCGACGTGGTGTGGAATCGAGGCCGCTATCTTTCCATCGATGCTCCGCAAAATCCATGCCACGATCATCGAGTTCACCGTTTCCCAATTGAGGAGTTTTCGTGCTTCGGTTGGCTTGTTTATAGTTCCGTCCACGAACAGGAATTTCCGTCGTGCCTTCAACGAAAGCTCTATTGCTCTGGCCCAAGCAACGTAATTCTCTCCCGTGAGAATTACGTGAGTGATTAAGTTTCCAGGTTGGTCCCCCGATCCGAGGTAATAGGGCGACGCAACATCGATCTTATCTTCTCCGGCCATGGCGTTCTGTTGCAGCGTACGGCACTGGCGTAACTACTGGCAGAAGGCTTCAAGGACGAAGGCAGAGTTAATGGTCGGTTTACCAGGCGCGTGGCTCTGATACCATGATGAGAAAGTTTTAGGGTTGAAAAGTCATGTGTATTATTCCTCTCCCAAGGCATATAAATATACAAGAGGTGCTCCTAATCTGCTATACACGTGTAAAACTAAAGCCCTAAAATACAAGTTAATGGGCTGAACAAATATACAATATTTAACTAGGCCTTTAACAGTCACAAATATATTTTATTGTTAGCTGTTAACCATATATAGGCGGTATTAGGGCTTTGAAATTCTAAACAAGCTTTACATTTTAGGCATCAAATGAGCATATTACATATTAGGGCTTTGTTTAAAAGTGTCACTTTTGTACACAATTTACTTCTATTTTGCCATAACTTATCCACATGAAGAATTTGAGTAGAAACTAACCCTAATTAAGCAGCAAATATATTTTTTATTCTTTTGGCAAACAAAAATGTACAATACAACTCTGGGGAGTAAGCTAATCCTACTCAGTCTAGACTCTAGACTGGGCAAGTCCAGTTCCACCGATTTATCCTGCCAGTTTTTGTTCGATTCCCAATTTGGTTCGATCCCATTCAATCTCTCTAATTTCTTTTTCATATTCTTACAATACTATATCAGTATACTAAATTTATAGTAATTTTATCATATTAATATTAGTTAGAGCATGGCATAACTGTTAATATTAGTAGTGAGTAGTAGTATTAGTTATTAGTTCATTACTTATAACAGTAAAATAAGTTACAAAGTATATTAGTTATTGTATATTACTTCTAAGTTCTAACCCACTACTAGAGTCTAGAAACTACTGACTAACAAATTTTCACAAAAAAAAGTCAGCTAGTTTTATAGAAAGTTATCTGCAAAAATTTTATGTCACAGACTCACAATTACATGTTTCACAACAACAATGACATTCGTAATTTTCCTATTTTATTAAGTGTTTGTCACATTTATTGTTCATATCTAAACGCACTCATATTTCTAAATTGGACAATAATCAGGTGGAAAAGATCTTGATTCCAGTACCGGATGAGAACAAAAATACCAGGTTTTCAAATCGGTAGAAGAAAATAAGGTTTTGGGCCAGAATAGAGGCCAGACCCAAGCCTCAATTTCTGGCACATGGACCAGCTAGTCCAAATGTTTTTACACTAGTCATTGCCTCACTGGGGAGCATTTTAAAAAAGTGTATCCATTTAAAAGCCGAAAAGTGTAGAGGGGATGAAAGGTTTTAAAATACATTTAAAAAAATCTGGACAGACCAGAACCGGACCAACCGGCGCACTAATTTTTAGGACCGATCAGGTTGAAACCAAATCTGACCCAGACCAGCCGACCAGGATAATGTCAATGCCTAAACATAAATATGGGACAGACTACGAACAGCGGCGGACACAAAGGGGGGCAATGAGGGGCTGCCGCCCCTCCGAAAAAAAAAAATTCTAGGTATATTTACCCCGAAATTTTTAATATATATGTATTTGTATGTATATTCTTCTACTGCCGCCCCTGCTATCGGGAAATCCTGCGTCCGCCGCTGACTACGAAGTAATATTTAAGGAAAACCCTCTATTAATGTTAGGTATACTATATAATTTTTTAAAAATAATAATCAGCCGATTCCTATCATGCATTAGCAGAACAGGAAGCAGTATTGGTTGATCCGGGTCCAGTCAAGTTCCTGGTTCCAGTCCCTGTTCTCCCATTCCAGATACACGTGAACCACTGGTTCAGGAACTGTATCACCCCTTTAATACAAGGGATTATTTTTGAAACAGCAAGGAATCAAAAATGACTGAAATGGTAATAAAGGGAAGACCCGTTGTAACACCAATCAGTCAATCTCGTAAGATTGCCACAAGAGGGATTCCAAATATTCAACAGGTTCAACTTTCTTTAATTAAGAAAAGGTTAATGTAATAGCGCCACTTTTCTGGGTTTGGTTTGGTACTTGGTGAACTCAATTTATACTATTTGCGGCACTTTCTTCTTACACAGCAAGAATGATCATCATCATACACTAAAAGACGCGTCTTTTTAGTTCTACTATAACAACACGAGTCCCCTTGTCCTTGCCAAAACATACACATGGACAAACTACAAAATTAGAATGCAATTAACACCAAAATTCGATGCCAGAGAGTTGATCAAAGGAAAACTGTGAATACTGAGAGTTGTTTCCCAAAGGCATCGATCTGATTTTGATGAAAAACGTGTGTTGGGGTTGTATTATCTTACATTGGGCAACACTGCACTGAGAATTTGTTACTTCAACAGCACAGTCAACTGATTAGTGAATAGATCAGAGAGTGCTCCACGTACATCCATCTAAAGAACAGGCATGAACAATAACACTTCAGATGAAAGTCTAGGGAACCAAAGGATAGAACTCTCGTAGATGACTCCTGAATATCACCAAATTGTTCTTTCACTTCTAATTATTTTCCCTTTAATTCTTTAGAACTTTATACTATGTAAAGGAAGAAAAAGTGCTAAGGGTAATTGTTTGCTTACGCTTTGGTTTTACATTGGAAAATGCAAAGGAAAAGAAATGTGACTATTTTCTTTTTAAAAACGTATTTAGATTTCTTTATATTAACAGACAAATAATTTAATGAGTATAACCAAATACCAAAACTTAATAAATTTATTGACCTTCAGTCTGTTTGTTATTTTTATCCGCAATTTCTTTCCTACCCATTTTCTTTCCCTAATATTTTCTGGGACGCATACCGACTCTAAGAGATGATGGAATGAAAAAGGGGGGCACACAAGCATTACAGAAAAGGCGTACCTGGTCACAACATATAAGCTTAGTAATCAAAGGATAGAACTCTCGTAGATGACTCCTGAATATTTGTCTGTTCATAGAGCACATGCCCTTCAGCGCCTGAAACGCTCACGATGCAATAACATAAGAATCCGGAAAGATTTACCAAGTACTATTTGTAGTGTAAAAGCCAAGCCAAACAACCAAAGACACTTTCATTGAATTAATCTATTTTTCCCAAAAAAAGAATTTTCCGAAACAAGTTTTGTTTGCTAAAGATTTACAAGATTTGGGACTTGCCACAAATAAAATATTATGGGGAAGTGAGGTTATAATTTTCAATTAAGAGAATATGAAAGACGAGATAACATGAAAAAGTAACTACAAATTTTAATCAATAGGCCAATTTAAATAAATCTGGAAATTTACAACTTTTCCCTCCCCTTCTCTTTCCCCCAAATTCCTCGATAAAAACATGACATAAGAGTTTTCAGTATAGAGTATAGACTATAGAGTTTTCAGTATAGACATACATGGATTAGGACTCAAAACGAACAAGGATGTTAACTTTTCATAAATTTCAGTCATTAGGTATCATGACTGAAGGGATCACAAATTTCACACCTTAACAATGATGGGAGACCGTAATTCTAGAACTCGGTGGACATCCATATTAGCATTTTCCCCCATGCACGACTGGAAATCAGATGCTTTGCTCAAAACCTGTCCACAAAATGAGACTAACTTCTCCTCTGCAAATCCCTGCAGTTTACCTTCATCTACCTTTCCTGCTGCAATGACATCACTTTTCCCCACCCCATGATCTCCATTTTGAGAAATACCCTTTTCATCCAACCCTTCTTTTTCACAACAAAACTCTGCAGTTGCCTTTTGTAAGATATCAAGGTAGATAGAAGTTCCAGCTAACTCTTGTCGGAGTAGATTTAATGGAGGCCTAGAAAAGATGAAGCCTAATTATTGCAAAAAAAAAAAATCATAATAAAACCATGCCATCACATAAGCACGTGAATCAAACCTATCTGCGGGAATTTGGTGCATCCGCATTCTCAGATTTGTATACGAATTATATGATGAAGCGAACTCCAGCGCAGAGAATAGAATGTCCAGTATACTGATTTTGTGTGAAGCCTTCAACTTATTCCAGTACTTCTTCTATAATTTGGAAGATCAGTAAGAGGAACAAATACTATGTTAACACATGACACCATCATAAAATTTAATTAAAAGTAGTGCAATAAAAAGGTCTTCCTCAACTGCACAAATTTCATTTTCTATCTGCTCACTACCACCTCGGCAATCTTCACTAAGATTAATGCATGCAAGGTCTTTGTATGACACTTACCACAATATATATGAACAAAAAAATAAACTTTCATCGGTTGTGGCAGTTTTTCAGATTGGCACTACAAACATCCCCTACTTCCAGACTCCACCTAAATTTCATCTCTCCTATCATGCCACACCTCCACCCCCAAAAGGAAATTGTTTGATAGAGACCACTATATATTTCACCTCCTGGTAGAAGGTTGTGATTTCAGTATCCATGATTTGGTGGTTTGGTAGAAGGTGGCAAGTTTATGTATCCTTAGAAAGCGTGGTATGTTTGAAATACAATTGAACTTCCAAAAATTAAGACATCATAAAAGTTTTTAGCAGCTAGATTGGTATAGTGACATTAAGAAAAACTTATGTTGCAATGAAATATTTGTCAAGTATTTCGCTACAATGCACAAAACCCAATAATCGCCTTTAGTTTGTTTGGGGAAAATCAATGAAACATAGAACTCTAAAATTTAGAATTAGACCTACCTGAATGCTATCAATAGCACCTATAAGCAACAACTGGGTGATGCATTTGCTTCGGATGGTAGTCAATACAGAAATTTCATCCTCTTCTCTTGCATCAGGCTCCACATCGTGGGAAAACTACAAATTAAGTATAAAAGTACAAACCATTATTTTTCTCAGGGTTATCAATGGTGCAAATAATGAGCACCATATATTGTCACTGCCAATTCAAGAAGGCATCGCCACAAACATGGGCCTGCAGTAATATTGTACCATGACCTGTGAGGCTGTGACGCATTATCGCAACACTATTGTTGAAATATAAACTAGAATGATATTAAAGATAGAGAGAAGGATTTTCTGTTTATTTCATTGAAGGGTAAGGCCCTTTAAATATAGATTACAAAGATAGAATATTCCTATAAAAGATGCTATACAATAATACTATATATGGTATATTCCTAAAATATTCTAAAGCATATTCTAAAGTATATTCTAATATACTTTCACACTCCCCCTCAAGTTGGAGCATAGATATTTATCATGCCCAACTTGTTACATAAATAACCCACTCGAATTCTATTTAGTGCTTTAGAGATTCTTGGTAGCACATAAATTTGGCATCCATCAAATGAGACAAATGAGCTGGTAGCGGAAGCAATATGAACAAGCCGATTTTCTTGATTTTTGAACAGCAATTTTCTACACTCTTTGATCAAGTGTCCGGGTTTTTGCAATAATTGCATATTACTCCTCTGTCAAATAGCAGGTTTCCGTTTGTTGACTTTAATATTGGAGAATAAAATATCCAGATTGGGCCTTGATTGCTACAGACCGCAGACTTAATTTCAAGCTAGAGATGTGTCCGTCTGATGCTAAGACCCCAGAGCATGTGCCCACGATAAGCGAACAACCAGAGTAGACCTTCGAGACCCAGCGGAAGTCTAAAGACACGCGAGATCCAGCGAGCAACCAACAATCAGACTGTGCGTCTGTCCCTGGACACTTCGATGCCAGACCCCCAGCGAGCGACGACCACCGTCCACCGGTCCTCCTCAGCTCTCTCAAAAAGAACGAGAAAGAAGTAAAGTTCACCTGGTGGTAGAGGACTATCAGGCGACTTTTAGACGAGAAATATGAGAGGTGCGGCGGCGGCAACAACTTGTTTCAGGTTTTGGGAAGATGCTGGGCGATCTGGTGAAAGAGCAGAGGGCGAGATTCTATATTGCCTTTCATGCTCGTTTGCTGGAAAGAATGCACCGGTTCTGAAAAAACTATATGTTCTTCCTTCCCTTTAAGCTAATTCTTCCAATCAAAATTCCAGCCAGGGAAGATGGCCGGACCTGACAGAGATGGACTAAGGTTCTGAAAAAAAAAGGTTCCGGAGATTCTGGAGTGTAGAGTTTCTTTAGAATTAGCAGCTAATTGATTTTCTGGAAAGTGGCAGCTAATTGATTTTCTGGATTAAGAATCTGGTTGGAGGTTCTGTAGACAAAAGAGTGTGTAAGGTTTTGGAGTTAACTCAGGTTTTGGAAGAGGTTCTGGGAAGGGTAGGAGGTTCTGAAGGTTCTGGACTGAAATTAGCCTGAGAAGGTTAGGAGGTTCTGGACTGAAATTAGCTCGTGAAAAAACTGCAAACGAATAGGAGTTCTGGCAAAAGCTTCTGGGAAGAGGTTCTGGGAAGAATAGGATGTTCTGAGATTGAACTAAGCTTCTGAATAGAGAATAGAGATTCTGGGTAATGGTGATGATTGTGTAAAGAGGTTTTGGACTGAACTCAAGTTCTTTGAGAAAGAACTGAGTGTGAAAAACTAAATTGAAATCTGAAAAACTAAATTGAAATGGAAGTGAAATGGAAGGCCCTGATACCATGTTGAAATATAAACTAGAATGATATTAAAGATAGAGAGAAGGATTTTCTGTTTATTTCATTGAAGGGTAAGGCCCTTTAAATATAGATTACAAAGATAGAATATTCCTATAAAAGATGCTATACAATAATACTATATATGGTATATTCCTAAAATATTCTAAAGCATATTCTAAAGTATATTCTAATATACTTTCACAACTATCATGGGTTAAAAAATCTTACCCAGCCAATTTATTCCCTGGCTGATCAAAGCCCAAAATCCAGAAACTAGTATATAATAATACACTCATTTTAGAAGGTAGTATGGAAATTTAAACCCTTAATATTCAAAGAAAGAACCAGATATATGCGACCAATGCTGCTACATCCTCACCAATTTTTTAGCTAATTCAGTGTTAACAGCACCCAAGTCGATGTCAAGGTTAATATGAAATATATTACTGTTATTTGTAACTATTTATATTTCGAGAATTGTACTGGATTTATTCCCATCTTTGGCAACTTCTTACTCTTGTTAAAGAGAGTGAGATACTACCTAACTACGAGTCTGTGTCGCCCAAAGCTAATGACCTTCTGGAAAGGAGGTATCCTGAATCTACCTAAACATGTGTTTGTGTGCCCATAGTCACTTCACAAAGAGAAAGAGGGTATTATGAAAGTCTCGTTCTGAAACTTATTGAAAAGGGGGGATTTGTCCAGTTGTCCTTATCGGGCTGAAAAGGCATACAGTAATATGAACAATAAAAAACAAGCTGGTGCAAATGGGCATTTAGTAATATTTCCAGAAACAGAGATTTTTAACATTTAGTAAGAAGGGTGAGAAGAGAAAGTAAAAGTTAGACAAATTAAACTACAAAAGCAACATTAAATGCAATGGTGGTTAAGAAAGAGTAGCTCATCTCAATACGATGAAATTCAAATGTCAAATACCTTGGGTGAAGATGAAGGCACCAAAGCTTTAGCAGTTGGACTTTTGGGTTTAGATGTAAAACTTCTGAGGAAGCGATTATCCATCACATTTCCGATAATCTTCTGACCAATTGTTTGACTCCTTTGGAGTTCTCCAGAAGCTTTAGCTCTTCCGGAAGGTGAGGGTATGCCTATATAAGAAAAAGAAATCCATTCAAGATGTTCTGTTTACACCCATTCCAGCAAGAGGGGATAATAACTATAATGGAATAAATACTTTGATTGCTAAAGTTCATGCAGTATACGATCCAAACTATAGCACTTTTGTAGTAGCAAGGGATTACCTTCATTTCCATCCTGATCAACAGGCCGCACCATTGCTTGATTGTCATCCAGCATCTCGCCTTCTGAAATAGTTCCAGGTGTACCCCCATTCAGCATTTGGGTTGCAGTATGGGCTGAAGAAACTTCCCCTAGTGCATTGTCCTTTGCATTCTCAAAACCTAAATCGTTCAGCAGCTCAAGGGGTTGTGTTGTATATGAAGCATCTCTGGGTAAAAACATGTAATTTGAGTAAGCCATGCAGACAAGAGTTTATATTTATATACTAGTCCCAAAAATGAAAAAAGGCATCTGAACGGAACACCACAAGGTAGCACACACCTTATGCTTTGTAGCAAGGTATCCCAGTCACTGTCACTAAATTGGTGCCCACCAACTTCAATCAGATGCACTAATGCACCCAGAGAAAGTGACACAACTGATTGATCAGTTTTTTTGGCACAATCTAACAGCAAACCGAGAAGTGGAGGCAGCATAAAACAAACATCCTAAAATACGTAATAAAGCACAAAAATATTATAACCTACATCAGAACTACATCTACTGCTTAACCATCAAAATTGAATGATAAGGGACTGCTTGAATGGAGGCTTTTTAGGGGTTTGGAGAGCTTAGTCTATATTTTGATAGATAGAGAATTTCTTAAAGAGAATAAAAGGTGAGTCAAATGTTATAAGATCATATATTATATTAGTCTTTCTGCTTTTTTGCCACCCCAAATATATACCAAGATATACCAAAATATAGAAGCAAGCCATCCAAATCTCTCCTAAATCCTCCATCAATACAAGCTAATATTTTACAGCAAAGGCAGACAAAATGGAAACAGAATAACATTTTCACCTTGTAAAAAGTGTTGAACAGGTTGCACAACAACTGGAGCGAATGAATGCTACTTTCACGAAGCCACTCGTCTCTAGAACTCATATTCTCTTGTCCAGCATGTCGAACATGGTCAAAAATGGGAAAGAGGACTCTGTGGAATATACTTTCCCAAAATGAGGATGAAAACTGGCTACCCCTTTCATTCAACAGATCAAATAAAACCTCGAGTGCACAATTTCTAACTTCTAATCGAGGATCGGAAGTGAGATCCGAAAGACCAGCCAGCATTGGGAACCAATAATGCTCAGTAACATCAAAAGATGTATCTGTATTATCACTAATGGGCTTCAAAGCTCCACCTGGTATAAGGCCCTGAAGTGACAATAAAAGAAAAACATTTCTGACACCACACAAAACATGACAAACAATAGATCCTTAATGCAGAGTTATGGTATGCTTCGTTTTTTTAATAGTGGGAACACTTTGAAGTTTAAATTTACATTCTTCACAAACTCTACATTGACTACATTTTATTTATGTATAAAATACATATTAAATTTGTCTCGAAGTAAATTTCAAAATATGATTTTTTTATTTTTACTAATATCCAGTTAAATACATTAATGGCCAAAGTCGTGTGTTGGCTACTTGGCTAATATGACATTCAAAGCATTGCAACTACATAAGAACAGGTGTGGTATAAGGAAAACAAAGAATTTGTGGTAAGCTAGGATAATAACGAAAAACATTTCTAAATAGAGTATACTCTAAGAATATTTTAAGTGCCAAGAAAGAGAGACCAAACACGGTCAACACACCTCAGCAAGTCGATCCTCACAAATGCGAAGTAGTGCAATAGCCTTCAAACTGATTCTGTGTGAGCTCTTATTGTTGGCAAACCTGATTAAGCAATTGACACAATCCATGAAACAATCTCCAACTACCTGATCAAAATGTTCCAGGATAACTGCAAGAAACTTCATCGTCAGAGTTGATGCAATTAAAGAAATGAAAATCAGTACAAAACTGAGAGAATTGAACAAGTGTTTATTATTACCCTGTTCCACATTTTCAAAGGCATTTTCAACAATGTGTTCTGAGTCATCATCGGCTGCAGCTGTAAATATCATGAATACACTTCTCCAGCCAGATTTTATGCTTCCAACTTTAGATTTTATCATCTGTCAATGCACCAGAAATCCAGAATGAGTCAAGCTTCAAAAGCATCAAATAATTGTGAACCCTCAGAAACAAATTGGACATACTTGTACAATACAATCAACAATAAGCCTCCTTATGGATTCACTGTGGCTGTTGCGCATAAGAATTACAAATGGTTTTAAAATATCATTCTGAAATGTGAAATTGGCGAGTTCTGCACGCTCTAAATATTTCATTCCAAGTTGGCGCAGAGAATCTATGGCATACATCGCAACTCTTTCATCAGGATGACTCCCGGCAAAAATAAAATGATTGGCCAACACAGACCATATTCTAGCCCAAACCTGAAAAGATTCCAGGTAGAAATGAGAATGACACAAGGAATACCATGGGGATTTACAGAAAGAAATTGCACATTGTGGTGGGTGCTATGAAAATTAGTGTCAAACTGTCAATTAATTGTTTACAACTAATGAATATTATAAATTTACACACACACACACACAAAACATAATGGTAAAGTGTGATGTGATAGATAATTTTGTGATGGTATTCCAAATCTCATCACTATAGAGTTTTCCAATTGCATGGGAAATATGGCGATGGGTTGACATTATAGTTATATTCATGTCCCAATGCAAAGTGATATTATAAAATCAAAATGTAATCATAGAACATGGCTGTTGTCATGAACGGATAAAGTAAAAATATGACGAAAAAGATAAAGTAATCAGAACCCTAAGAGAATTGTTGTTTCAGGCATGTAGATGCTTCACCCGACTTGCACAATCCATATAAAATGAACAACTCATTAACATGATGCAAGAAATTAAGTAATGGGTGTGATTCTAAACTAAAGAACTTTTACTTATACAAAACTCAAATACAAATATACCATTCTTATACGAGCCATGTTGTAGTAGCTGATCTCAACAAGTTTTTGCAAGCTGAATACACGCGGTGGAAGCTGTCTTAATTCCTCGGCAGACACATTGCACAAAGATGTAAAAAACTCCACTACAGATTCACTAGGCAGTTTAACACTATTCATGAACACCTGCTCTGCAGGTTTACCAGCCAACTCTCTCAATGATTGAAGAAGAGAATCTCGAGAGATTTGGTTAGATCCTTGCATCACACTAGCAGCCATAAAAGGAGTAGATACAATAAATTCAAGCCGGGAAATAGTCTCAAGCACTGCGTTCCACGACTCCTGCAATGCACCAGGATCTGAGTCGCACAAGACTAGTAGAGTCCGCAATGCTTCCACATTTTTACTTCTCATATCCCTTGGTGCATGTAACAAATTAAATCTGCAATGCATTTCCAAAAACATTGTAGCCAAGCAATGGCATTACTTTACATCAATAACTTTCCAAAGCACAATGATAAATTTTTTGGTAGGTCAAATAAAAATGATAAACGAAAAGAATGAAGAGAATATCAGATAGACACAAACAATAAACCATTAAGTAAAAACAGATTACCTAAACAGATATGACAAAAACGCGTAGCGCATGGTGTCCATCCCAAGAGCGTGTGTGATGTGAATTCCAGCATTTAATCCTTCCATGCAGAGAATAGCTCTGGCTTTATTTTCTCCCTCCTCCATAGTAACTGCAAAAGTAGCAAGCAGTGGCCATCCTAGAGCTTCTACCATAGGACGCACAAGCTCTATATTTTGTGAAGTATAGAAAACTCCTCTTTTCCCACCTTGATTCTTGAAAATAGCTTGTGTTTGTTTAATGATAGCTTCACTCTCTGATTTCGAGTCAGTTACAGATTTCCTTTTCGGAAGAGCTAGGTTAAGAATACTGACAAGCCGCCCTCTCTCCTCAGACTCTGACTTGTGCTTGCTATTTTTGCCAAGAGATATGGGATCGTCTTTCATTTTTATCTCTTCTTTTACTATAGAGTCATAAATCCCCTCAAGAAGTTCCTTAGGAGCACTCTCTTCAGCCTCATTCATGACATTCATGCGAATAAAATCTTCCTTAGACATTTTGGGCCAGACCAGAGGATTGTGAGCATCAGTATTCAACATTATAACTGCATATGCTAGAACATAAGCTGTGTCCGCACTCTTGAATAGATCGGGGTTGTCTGCACAGTAGCTACAAAACACAGTAGCCTTTGAAGCTCAGTAGTCTAAATTACCAGGTAGTGGTTGAATGCTAAATGGTGAATGGAAATAAGAATGGGTTGGGCTTTAACTGCAGCCAATGCATTTGTAAAATAAGTTGTGTGCTTCAATTACGCACGTGTAGGGCAACCAAGAAAGCCACTGTGGCATTACTGATAAGCAAAGCTTATGTGCTTGGCAGCCCATCTATTTGAAAAGTTACATAGTTCAAATAGTTGATATTACTTCACATTAAAACATCTTCTTCGTAGTGTATGAATGTGTGAAATATAGACAAGCAAGCAGAAAGTTACCGCTCAGCGAACTTTTCCATCATGCGGTCTATTTTCTGAGCTTCACCAGGAAGTCGAAATCCTCTAAGAAACTCACGAATTGCCATATCAAATTTCATCCCAGAAAAACTCATAGAATCAACATAAGCATGCATGACAGCAAGTGGAAAGTCCTCATGTTGTCCTAAGTAGTCACCAATCATTGCCTGAAACCTGACACAATTAAATATTTCCCTAATGTGGCAATATTCAATGGGAGAAAAGGGAGAAGAGTATTCCTTTCATTTTACCTTATCCAAGTTGGGGGTACTCATGAGAAATTGAGCGACTGATGCAGGTGATCTCTCAACCAATCTACTTGATATCAAATATTCTATCCCTTTACCAGGATGCCTATTAAACTGTCATGTGTTTCATAAGTAAAGATTATTCTATCCGGGCTGAACAACTTTAAAAAGTAAGAAAGAGTGCAAGAAGAACTAGACCAGATTTATGAAAATTTAGGAAGAAACTGAGCAGTAGATCAAAATTGTTGTAATCCAAACTTTGCATGAGAAATGCATACTTCAGAAATAGCTGCTTCTATTGTAGATTTGTGGGCCTTCAACTTCTCAAAGTCAGTGGGTTCTTCCCGGCCTCTTATGTCAATGGGTTCTTTATTCATGCCTTCTCCAGAAGACTGTTTCCCTTTATTCGCTCTGCCAGCTTCTCTCCGTTGTTTCTCCCATTCAGCAAGTGACTTTAACACACTTACAAGGCACTACACATCAAGCAACCCAGGAAGGGCAGTGATGAGCATTGAGTATACTGAAGTGCCCAAAACTTATAAAATAAAACTAGAAAAAGCACTCCAGATAAGAAACCTGCAGGGATGATGCTTTGACTGATCCCATCTGAGACATAACGACTGAGTTCGGCTCGGCATTTTGAGTCCCTTGAACAATTTTCGATAAGGTGGTCACCTATTAGAGAAAACAACAAACAATGAGGTTTACTACACATATGAGAAACATAAAATGAATGGCATATAATGATAAACCTGATGCAGTACTAGAAAGTATTGATTTCATAATGCAACGAAAATAAATAATACCATGCGCTCAAACAAGTTAGGAGCATTAAGATCACAATCATAGTTCACATAAAGGTCAACAAGCATCTGTGAGTCCTTGCATATTTTCTCTAGCATTCTGCAAAATTACAATTTTTAAACATTGACTCAGAAGAATGAAGACTGCATCCACTAAAATTAAGAGCTTTTCTTTGTCAGTATTATATGTGACCCTAGAAACAAGTCTTCACGCTTCACTATTCAACTCTCAACCTAATCCTAATTCCTAATAATGGTGGGGGGTATGTGTTGTTCACCCTGATTTAGATTATGTTCTCAACACCCTCATGCTCTTTGATTCATTGGATCCCCTAATATACCCCTAATAATGCCTTTTCTTTCCATACTTGATGGTTAGCTTTGTTTTACTGAATTGTTAGTTTAGATGGATCCATGTTTCACCTTTCTTATTTCTGTGAGTTTGCTCCCTGTTAGACTTACCATTTGCTGATTCATTGCATAGACTCTGCATCATCCATATGGATTCGACAGCGACCTACTTACCACATACATTTAGCCTATACATAATGGTCAAAATAGGGGTATAACATATGCAATGTTCTAAAATAGGGCTAATATGTTTTCCCTTAAATAGGAGTTATTTAGTCCTATTAAAAGAATACAAGAATAAAAACTTCCCTCTAGAGAGGTGCATTAGACCTATTTTGGGAAGAAAAAAGGTACTCCTTTTTGAGAAAATTTGCTATTTTTTACTCCTATTTAGGGAATTCTCTCTATTTTGAAAGTATTTTGACGCAGTGGTATAGAAGCAGCCATGAAAAACTGGACAGAAACTATGGACACCCCAGTTAAACTTTCACATGAAGAGATAATAGGAATAAAATGAGGACTGATCAAAGGAAGCCTGGTAAACTTAATTTCTTTTTTCTGTAAAGAGTTGCATGGATGGAAAGCAAAATACTAAGGTGATAGAGTTTCATCTTCGAAAAACGATGTACTTAATTTGACTTGAAATTTCTGATTCCAAACTTTATGTATCCAACATTCCAACCAACAATCGTCATACATGTTTAATACTAATAACTGTATATTTAATTCAGTTCTAATTGTAACTCCAATATGTGAAGTTGTATGTTAAATTCATCAACATTACCTTCACAAGAATCTTGTGTATCTAGTGTTTAATGTCTACTCATGTTCATTTCCTATTAGACATTTAGACCACCACCCTGAAATACTAAGGGGCGTATATGGCAGTGGTTTTGTGTGTTTGACTAGTTGACCAATTACATGGATTCAAATCATACATAACGTGAGAGGACCAACCACCTGGAAGGTGGATACCATTTCATTGAGGAGATAGTCTTGTCAATTCGTCCGGCCAACATGCAGACACTCAAAAGTCTCTACAAGAGTTTATGTTCGAGGATATTGTATATGGTAACAACTAATAAGCTTAAAATTTCCGCACATATGATCTAAATGCCCCAACGAGAAATGGGGTAGTGTGTTAAAAGTAATGGCCCTAGTCTACTAGTCCAAATTCTATAATATTAGATTATTGAACCAAGCCCATTAAATGCGTGCACATGAGTGCGCATATGTGTAAGTATTTATATACGTAGTATATTATTATACCAGATATACATGTAATCCATTCTACTTGGGAACATATGTTTTACTTCTAGTTGTTTATCTGGTGCCCAGGTTAACCTTCAAAGCCTCAAGAATGAAAAACCGAGAGTGAAAAATTACATACTTGAGAACACTTGCTTTTGGGTGTAAGTCTTGTCCATCCAATGGGCGCAAAACAATCAAGGGAAAGAAAACTCCAATTTCACCCTACAGGATAAATAAAATGCTTTCACACTGACGAAGCAATTAAAGTCCAAATTTCACTCAAAGGAAGCATATAAACTTCAACTCTACCTTGAGACTTTCCCTGAATCTTAACAGAAGTACAGAGAAGATTCCTGTTGCATACTGTCAAATGCAAGTACAATATCAATAGAGATACAATAAAACAACATTATATTTAATGATAAATAGTCAGGTATATTATAAAAATATACCAGAAATATGGTAGGAGTCTGTGACACTGAAGCTCGCAGCAATACATAAGAAATGTATGCTTTCACAGAATCAATAAAATTAATGTCTTTTGTGAACGACTGACTAACACCCTCCAACAAGCCCTGCAATTACATGATAAACAGATCAATGAAAAATATGCTAAATTAATTCAAACCAATAAATTATGCAGGCTAATGTAACCATTGTTCAGGAAATTATTTCTAGGTTCTCTAGTCTAATTTAAAGAAGATGTATTGCAATTCCAGCAGTTATGCACTTACTTATGCTATTGATAATGTCCAATTGACACAGTATTGATATACACATAAGTACGAAAACATTGATATTAGATAAATAAAAGATAATTAAACATTGCACAAAATAACACAGTTTTTAATGTGAAATAGAACAGAAACATTTCAAAAAGAAAATAGAAAGGGTTTCTCTCTGACCTTAGTACATTAGACATGGCAACAAAAGTTACTTCTCAAAAATCAGGTGTAGCAATCTTACCACAAAAAAGGCCACAACCTTCATTAGATGATAAATAAAGGATGAAAACATGAATTTCCAGTGTTTCTGCTCACTCTAAGTAAGAATGAAGTTATTTTCCTTGTAAAAAATTGCAAATTCAAAACTCCTTCCTTGTTTCAAGTGATGAATTTTGACTAATTAAGAAATTCACACTTCTACTGGATCCATTGTATACACAATTCACCTGTAAAAGCTCCAAGGATAGAATGCGTGTTTTTGTTGTAACTTCATCAGAGTCTTCTTTTATACCCATCTACGAGGAACCAAAGACAGTCATTCAGAACAGTGCTTTTGGGGGATATACCATGTCACAACATCAGTAATTAAGTGCATTGCAAAGTACAAACCTTGCATAGGGTGCGGAAAAGAAGCAAGGCATCATGTCGCTCAACACTCTGACGTTCTGGGATAACCCCTCTGTTAAAGGTGAAAAATATCAGTAATAATTGCAAATAAGAGGCAGTTCATTTACAAGTTGAGAAATTTCCATCATATTGTAACAGACTTGTCCATGACATGAATCCAAACCTTATCGCCTTTTCACCATCTTCAAGACGAACAGCTTTCTCAAGAGCAGCCTCTAAACCCTGAATGGCAGATAAATCATTTTTTATAATTGCATAGCAGATGATTTAAATACAGCATAAAAGATTTCTTCATAGGAAGAAAAGCAGAGAAACAAAAAAAAAAAAAATGTAAACATATATGCACATATACATCCATCTTGCTTCAAATGGATGAAGTTCTTAGTATGTGAACTGAGAGGACAGGAAGTACCTTAATGTCAGCTCCACCAACAAGATTTTGAAGTTCCTCCACACTTGCAGTAGACGTGTCTTCTAACACCAGATCTTTTGGGCTCTGATAATCAGAAGGCTTCTCCTCCTCAGGCTTTGAGCTGGACACATTTGCCGAACCAACCACTTTCTGAATAATAGAATCAGATGAACTACAGAACTCAGTTGGCAAGCCAATACTTATTATACAAATTTAATAATTAATGTACCGCCTGATGATGCCAAAAAATTAAAAAAAAAATTGATTCACAACCTAATGAATACATACCAGGTCAGTTTCAATCCGCCTAAACACAGTACTGAGCATCTGAGTTAGCATGGCTTTCGATGTCGCTTGATTTATTGGGGACTTGCTAAACATTTAACCAATATATTATTGGTTGCATAAGTCATCAAATCTATAACTACTGTTAGATATAAGCAAATACCTGTACAGGGCAATATTATAGCACACACGGATAACCCCGAGCAATGGTTCCCCATGAACTGTACCATAAACATGCCATTGCTTAATTAGAACTTAGCCAACACTTGTAATGCAAATAAAAAACAGTAGTATTTTATCTGCTGTTCTAGCACATATTCCGTCAAGTTCTTAAAATTTTGGCATTCAAATTATTCCTTTAAAGTAACAGATCCCCTAATAGTAGTCACATACCTCTAAATTTGGTGGATGCAACAGCAGTAAGAAGTACCTTCAATACTTGAAGAGTAGTACTGCAAATTATTTTTCCAGATGTTACATTTACGAAGATACACAATGTTGGAGAACAATTGCACCATAACCAGTCAAATACCTGTCAGGTGATATATTATCCACACAGCTGCACACCATGTTCAAGATGTCTGAAAATAGTGGCATACTTTTCCCATTTTCATAACCAATATCTCCCTCTAAATGATCATATGCAATAAGTTTCTGCACTTGAATGGTTGAGTGAACAAAATTATGGAACAATTTGTGGTGTATGCTTTTAAATTTTATATAATTACTTAGGAATAGAAACTACATAGGATTCCCTATCAAACGAATAACTATGCAATGAGATTTTGCACTTAAAGATTAGAGTGAAGAATGTTACGGCACTACATTGGATGATAAGCACAAGTGTCAAACTGTCAATAACTGTTGAACGTGAACAAATGTCTAGGATGTCTTATCAAACCAACATCTATAACACAGTCAATTTGTTACATTCTCAATTGTCAAATAATGTATACTCCGTAAAAATATGCAAAACTAACATCTTAGCATCATACTGCTTCTTACACGAAGTACCTGCGATATCAAACTCAACTAATTATGTAGAAAAACATAATGCAAATGTTAAGATAGTTCGTATTCTTTTTCTAGTCCATCCTTGTTGCACTGATAGTTTAACTTATAATTGTCTAGTTCTATTTCTGTGAAAATGCCCTAGTTCCTATTACTCCACTATACTATATTTTTTTTCTGTGTACTCCATTACAAGTGCATTGACCAATACTTTAGAGACATTAGCCATTAAGCATTTAACCCTTGCATCTCATACATGGTTTTGTCTTATGCACCCTACTGGTAAGTGGTGATGTGGTATCTTGACCATAATATTTTAATGAAGATTGAAGATAACTCAAACTCCAAATGAATCGGTCTGGAAGCACGGGATAACTCTCCTAGGAAGGATAAGAAACAAGTGGTGACACCAAACACTTACATGAAGACAATCCAAAGCAAGCTCCATAAATTTTATATTTTTTGTCTCCAACGCATGTTTGAGAGGACTGAGAACAAGCTCTGCCTCAGCTCCAGTTAGTGTATGACCTGCCTCCGCTAAAGATGTGGTGATGTTCCCAGTTGGTGAAGCTGCAAATGAGTGAGCCACACCGGCTCCTGCATCCGATTCAGGAGTGCTACAGAAAAAGAATGTGAGAGATAAAGCTACAAAATCTATTGTTATAGCTGCTAAGCCGGAGTAACAATAAGTGCTTAGAAAAAAATGAGAGAGAAGGCCAGAGGTGAACTGCTACTCCTTTGATAGAATCAGTGGGAAATCAGAGCCAGAAGCAGACATGCTAACATTGTGTGTAAGTCCCATTACATACCTCTGACTATCTGTTGATGCTGCTTCATTACTCTCAATGGGTGGTGATTGATCACTCGACACCTTTGCACCATCTAGAGGGGATGGATTAGACAGGTTTAGACCGATACCAAATCCAAAGAACAACATCATAATTACTACCAAATTTGTAGCAAAGAGTCAAAGACAGTGGCAGGATAACATGTTAATCAAAGAAGCAAATTTAGTACATAGAGTTTTTCTTTGGATGATGGATATTCATCACATATTGTACAAAAATTGTGGACACATCTGAATCTAATTTAACAACGCCCAACTGAAACTCCTAATTATTTTTTCTTGCAATGCGTCCAAAAGATTTATTTAAGCTCCATTGGAGCTTATAATAGGAGATTTGTTCCTATGTGAAAATATGGAAACCCATTCCTATGCATCTCATGAAACCCAATACCTTCCCCAACCACATTAATAAAAGTAGGGGTTATTTCACGGGTGAAAATGAACACCGCGTGAGGGGAGGAGAAAAATATTGAATTCTAACGCGCAGAAGTGCAATGAGTTGAGAATTGCATTACATGCCCAACCAGAAGCTGTGATGCGAAGATGAAGTTCCATAAAAGTAGTAGATCACCAGAAAAGGGAACATAGATACGAACCTAAATATGCCTGGATAGCTGTCTGGAGAGCAGAATACTTCTTGTTGGCACACTCCTTGAGCATTGACTCGAAAGCTCGAGTCACAAACCCTCCAGCAGCCCCGCCAGCCATTTTCCTTTGCACTAGTTAATTCGAGAGTTTTCCAGCTTCGTTATCTGCGAAGATCAACAAGACGGAACCGGATCACATGATAACAAGGTCGGATCCAAATTCAAGTACCAGCTAATATGACGAAAAAGAGATCCAATGTGAAGATGGAATTGTGAAAATGACTTTACCTCCACTCCAACTGCGCAGCAGAATAATTAGGAGATGGGTGAAGAAATTTTGAGATCTGGCTCTAGACCGTTTGAGGTTTTAGCTTTCGTCTACGGACTACGAGTCGCTAAATCCAAGCATTCCCTATTTGCTGTCTATTTTGCTCAGATCAGAAACTGCGTAGTTGCGGTTTCGTTCTTTGTTAATCTTACAACCATTAACGGGTTTAAATGTTTAATGGGTTTAATCACCTGGTTAAATTCCATGTATAAATCTTACTACTACTCTGTCCCTTAAAATTTTATCAAAGTTGATCGACACGGAGAATAATGAAGTAAAAATTGTTTTGTTTAAATTTGTGCATAGGAGAGAGAAATAACAGAAACCACAAAATAATTGGGAAAGCTACAAAGTTTTTTGGGAAGTCCCAAAAAAGAAAGATGACAAAGTTTTAAGGGACGGGAGAGTATATACGAACTGGATTGGAGTAAAAAACTAAAAAAAGTCAGATTGGGTCATTGTAAGAGCCCGTTTGGTAGCACAAAAATCGGCTGATTTGGCTAATTCTGCTGAAACTTATGAAGTTCTGGCTGAAGTGCCTGCATTGGCGGATTCTTTTGATTTAAGAAAAAATTATGGGTTTTTTACAACAATATTACTAAAGTAAAACTTATTTACATAAATATGACTATTCATTATTAAAACGTAGTGTTGTAGTAACTTAAGTTCAAAACTTGAACATAAATTATTATGATTTCATTACTACTTTAGTAAGTAGTCATATTTTTGTAAATCATCTTTATTTTGGTAATATTTATGTAATTATTTCAAAAATTATTTTTAAAATATATTTTATTAATAAAATAAAGAAAAAATTATATGTAAAAATAGCTAACGGTCATCTACATTAACTTCCGCCAATACAGCAGAAAAGTAACTTTACTTTTTCTGCTTAATACACAATTCAGCGCGTGAAAGCGAAAGTTACGTGTTTGGTGAAAAAAATTGACTGATAAGCCTAATAATCCGAAAAACAGTTGTTCCAAACGGCCTCCAAGGCTTTGTTTTCAAACACTAAAAAAACATTTCCCAGCTTTTGGCTTAAAAAAACTAAAAAAAGTGTTTCAAGTTACAACTTTTACTTAAACTAATACTTAAAAGCTAAGAGCTAGAATTTACTTTTTATTTTTTCAATTACACAAAAAGCACTTATTTTACCAAACACTGCCAACTTTTACTTTTCAAAATCACTTTTTTCTCAAACACTACCAACTTTTACTATCAAGTATTTTTTCCAAAATCACTTTAAAAAGTTAAAAAGCACGTATTAGTGGTGTTTGCAAACATAGCCTAAGGGGGTGTTTGTCATTGCTTCAACTTTAAAGAAGTGATTTTGGGAAAAGTGATTAATAGTAAAAGTTGGTAGTGTTTGAAGAAAAAGTGATTCTGAAAAAGTAAAAGTTGGTAGTGTTTGGTAAAAGAAGTACTTTTGTGTAATAGAAAAGGTGAAAAGCAGTTTAAAGCACCCTTCCACCTGCTTCCAGCTTTTAGCTTTTAAGTGATTAATTTAAGCAGAAGCTGTCATTTGAAAACACTCTTTTTAACTTTTTTTAAGCCAAAAGCTTAAAAACACTTTTTTTAATCAAATGCAAACACTCCCTAAATCGGGTTAGATTGCAGCTGCAAGGTTAGTCCGAAAAATGCTCCAACAGTCCAACATAGTACAATGACAGATATCTTGCTTTGGATTTGTCATTTCAAATCAAATGCAAAGTAAATTTTTGCATACCTCTTATTACTATTAGGCCAACTCAAATGAGTTAACATTATTGCTTTTCTGTCATGCTACATACTATGTAGTACTCCCTCCGTCCCAGAATGGTTGACCAATGTTGACTTGCACGTGGATTAATAAAGTAAAAATTGTGTGGTTGAAATTTGAGTAGATGAGAGAGATTTAACTTTAGCCACATATTGCTTATTTTAAATGGAAATGGCCAACCTTTTTGGGACGGCCAAAAAAGGAAATTTGGTCAACCATTTTGGGACGGATGGAGTATTATATGTTGGACATTGGAAGATAAGGAATTGTCTATTTTCCTGACCAAAAGCGTCAAAATGTGTGACTCTTTTCCTGTTTATGCATGTTCCAGTGAATACAAAAGACCATGTTCGACCTTATGTGTTGAATTGAGCATGTTTTCAACAGGTGAGCTGCTTATCAGAGAGATTTGGCTGATCGACTGTGTTGTTTTGGTTGCCATGAGTTGAAGTCTCGCTTCAGAAACGTAACTGAGTTGGGGTGGTGGCGATAAGTTCTATTCACTACTTAGGTTCTAGCTAGCTATAACCTTGTCGGATGGGAATTCTCGATTTCAAGCTTCTATCGAGGTACATAGTTGCCGGATTTTCATGTAAAAAAATTGGCCGGTTGTTGGGGGGCTAAAATAAGATTCTTTTTACTTGGATGCTCTGATTTTATTCGTCGAATATGCATGGGAAACCGTCGGGAAGGGTGACCGCACATGACACTTGTGTGGACATGACAGGTTGAACGGTAGAACTGGTGATTCCTTATCCAGAATACGTGTTACTCTCTCTTGCGGCTACGATGTAAGAGAGAACCTAGGGTTCATGAATGACTCACATCGGATACTTGTGCTTGAGTTGCTGAATGGCGTCTCATACAGATGGAACTTACCAGTTACGAAGGAACCTTAGCTTAGCGGGTCAGACAAGATCTTGGAGCCCGCCTACTTAGATGGGTCAAACACGTGTACATGATAACTAGTTTGCCTGTATTTTTTACTTAATCGGGCCAGTGCTTTCAATGTCCATCGCATGTTTTTGTTTGGAATAGTGAACTTTGTTTTTCGGTTTCATGTTGGGCAGATGGGCAGTGTGTTCATTGGGGACTAATTAAATACTATAGTTTATATAGTACGTACATTTTATCTTTAGGTTTAGGAGCTGAGCTAGGCATGTCCACGTACAACACTTGCACTTTAGTTTTGGTTATACTATGTACTATTGTAGTATTTACTATGGACAATGTTCTTTTTCAGTTACAACCTTTCTATTCTCACATTTGTCCATGCACAATTTTTACTATTTTTTATAATTGCACAAATTTTACTATTGATAAATTTCATTTGTTGTCACTTAAGAAGTTTTAAAATAGATTATGAAAATTTAAAATGAGAGGAATTTAACAATAATTTGAAATAATAAATTTCTAATACATTGTTAAAACAATCATAGTCAACATAAAATATGTAAATAATATAAAATTCAACATATTGTATCTGTGACACCGCACCCGAATGTCCTTGGAGATTTGATTTAAATATTCAAATTTATGTATTGACTTTCCGATCTCCAAACAATTGTAAAACGATTAATGTTCTACGTAGTGCATGGTTGAATATCGTACTGTTCAAACTTGTACATTAGTGTCGGGTTTTGCAAATACTTATTCGGGACTTATTAATAAATAAAAGGGCCCAACGTTATCTAAATAGTGATACATAATCTTTCAAGACAATTTGAGGAAGGTCGGGCGGCCCAAACATTATTTTGGGCCCAACTTGCTAAAAATAGCAAGTATTCGAGAATGGCGTTCTAGACCCACTCGGGAGTGACCCACACGGCTAGTAGCCCAATAATATGTATAACAAATGTCAAATAAGTGATAGAATGATTAAAGAAGAATACAAATGCCTATAACCCCATCTTTGGCATTATTGAGCTAAATAATGGGAGTAGGGTTTTTCTTCTATAATATTCATCATGTAAATTATTGGGATGATCATACACATAATGGAAATCAATAATATGATGTAGAGAGTTGACTTGTTCTAAATAAATTAGAATGAGTACAAAGAGACATCTTATGACAAAGAGATCAAAAGTGAGATCCACCCATGTCTAAAAACATCTTATGGAGACCATACCAATTCATTTCACTCCACACAACTTATCCACCCTTATTGAAGGGTCTTGGACACTCCCTTAAGCCCCTCATTCGAACTCCCAAGGATAAGGGAGAAGGAGAGAGCCACACAACCAAGAAAGCAAGAGAAAGGGGAAGCTGCCGCAGGTTCGTTTTCCAGTGCGTAAGGTTACTTGTTTGCTTCATATCTCGAATTATACACATCCAAATAAGGCGTGCGAGATACCCACAGAAAGCTCTCAAGACGAGGAATCCGTGAAGGTCTGGTTTGGATCAATCAGAGTAGTGGAAGACTTCCAAATCGTCCGAGAAAAACACAACCTCGCTGAATACGTTTTTGTATTCAAAGTAAGTTTGAATCCAAAACTTTCCTCTCTATTGTCTAAATCATATAAATAATTGAAGAATTATTATACACTGATTGAAGTGTATAAAATGTTATTATAAAGTGACTTTAATTGTTGGAAAAGTTAGATACTAATCTAGACAAAACCTTGAAAGGTTAGGGAGCGATTTCGTCGGGAAACACCCGTTCTAGGGACTGTTTTGTGTGTCTTCGGTTAGGAGTTGAACTAGCACTTTGAAGATGCTGTTTAACACTCAATTCCAAGCAAGGAATCAGTCCTCAATCTTCCTTGGCCGAGGCTTTGGTCATTGGATCGAGAAGGAAAGTTTTAAAGCTCATTTGAGGTGAGGACCGACATCTAGTTGCTTACAACTTGTAGGTTATGCATGAGATTACCTAAATGTTTAAATCATGTTTTTGTGAATAAATATGCTTGAACATGATGTGAATGATAAGTAATGGACTTGATCATGAATTGAAACCATATTGAAGAATATGGAGTCATGTGAGATAGAGGTATGCTAATATGGTAAATTGACCTTTCCAACTAATGTATGAATGTGATGTGTATGTAAATGTATAATTGCATGATGATGCTTAACACATGGGAGGCTGCCACATATCTATTGATATGGAGGGGCTACCATTAATGATAAATGAGTTGTAGGAATAATCTTAATAGTATTGTGATGCTAGTTAAGGATTGTTCTAAATGTCGATAGAATCAAACTTAAGGTTTGAGTTGTTTGTGATGAACTTGAATAAGATTCAAGTGTCAAGTGTGATTTCATGGAGTAGGAGATCTATGGTGTGATTGTATGAAGTAGGAGATCTATGGTGTGATTGTATGAAGTAGGAGATCTATGGGGTGAATACATGAAGTAGGAGATCTATGATATGATTACATGAAGTAGGAGATCTATGATGTGAGTAC